GTGGCTGATGAAACCAATATGAGTTTGGAAGGCTCTACCACAGACTGGGCACAAATAGTCTGTATGAACATTTGAAGTGGGCACGTCTCTAAATTTGGGTATCTTTTTTATTTTTGAGCTATTGCAATTCTGCTTCGCTCACAGAGCATAGCACTTTCTTTGATGCAGGACACCATGCTGGACAGTCATGTGTCAGTGTCTCCCATATCAAGTTTAGAAAACAGCTGGTAAGTCCAGTGTGGCTAGAACACAGAGTATGGAAAATAAAGCTAGAGAGGGAAGTGGGAGCCTGACTGTGGAGGACTTTAAATGCTTGGTTAAGAGTTTGTATTTTATCCCAGAGGCACTAGGGGAACCACTGAAATTTCTGATCAAAGACTCTGACATGGTCAGACCAATACTTCCAGAAAATGATTTTGGCATTTGAATGGAAGATGGACTGGGGAGGTGGAAGACTGGATAAAGGAAGACCAATCAGACTCTTCACTTCAAAGACAGAGAGGGATAAGGATGAAAGACTGGGTCAGGATGGCCAGTGAGTGGGAGGAAAGAGGTAGATGTGTAATGTGTTGTGGAAGCAGAATGAGAAGGAACTGGCAATTGTCTGGATATAAGAGGCAAGGGAGAGGGAAAATTCAACCTGGGTGAATGGGAGGACAGTACTGCCCTGGAAAGGAAGGAGGGACAAATTTAGGGGGAAAGATGATGAGTTCTATTTTGGACGCATTAAATTTGAAATGGTGACCCTGGGCAAGTCATTTAATCCCACTACCTAACCAAAAAAAACCAAAAAACCAAAAACACAAAACAAATTTGAAATGATGCTGAGAACATCTGGTTGGAAATGTCCAGGAAACACTGGTAATGTGGGTCAAGAGAAATTAGTGTATATGCATGCACATACACACACACACACACACATACACACAATATCCCATACTTCTTTATATTCCCACAACTTCCAGCACATGTTTTAAAAATATTTGCTGACTGTATGAAATGAAACATATTGGTGGATCCAGTACTAACTGGCTTAGCCTATTAACTAATAGATTTCCAGCTCTTTTGAGCCATAGATAGAGACCTAAATGAATTCAATGGAAATGAACATTTAATCAACTTCTAAACCACAAAATTCAGCTCTGTTTTACAGAACAAGTGAAAAGTTACTGTCCTTAAGCAAGCTCCCTACAACAAAAATCTTTCCATTCCATGGCTCTTCAGGAATTTTAGACTTCATTATTGGTTGCATTTTCATTCATGCCCCCATCACACTCACTGGTTGTGATGAAGGAGTCAGTATACTTCTTGTTCCCCTCTGCCATTTCAAGACTCTCCCTCAACCACCATGACTCAACAACCTCTCCTCTTTTGAGGTTCATACTATTCATATTATCAACCAATCCTATTGAATCTCAATAAATTTTCCTTCCTTTCTGAATGAATTCAGTGCCTTGCTCACAGTCTTTTTTTCCTCCCCAATTCCTGCCCTCATACAAGGGGACTTCAACACATATTGCTCTCTCAAATATCCCAACTTCTCAGTTCCTTAATTTCCCAAGACCAGCTCCTCCACTCCACCTAGGCTACACAGATCTTGTAATCACCAACACGTATTCCACTTCCAGGGGAAACTCTGAAATTCTTCTATCTGATTATGTAGTCTTTTACCATTCCATCTTTTCCTATGCCTTATGACCCCTAGCCTTGTTCTTCATCCTAACCATAACTGATAATTCTTCTTCTATCCCTCAGTTCTTTTCCAATGGATTACCCTTCTACTATATACACTTTCTTCCCTTGCCCATCCTGACCCTTTGCTGAACCAGTTCAACTCTACAATGTCCTCTCCTCTTGAATCCCTTGTTCTCCTATCTTATTATTGATCATACCTTAGCAACCTTGAACCACTCTCACAATTGGCCTTCATGCCTATTCACACATTGCTGAAAAGAGCTACAAAAAAAATCATGAAACTGCTAATTGGGTTTTACTACAAATTTATTTTACATAATCTTAACTGAGCCCTCACTGGAGAAAGGTAATATTTCAGGCCTCCCTAACTGATTTACTCTCCCACTCACCACAGAGGCCATTCAAAATTCTTTTATCCCTCCTTAAGCCACCCCTTCTCTCCTTTCCCCACCTCCTCCTCTCAGCTGAGAACCTTCACTAAAAAACCTGAAGTCATTAACCAAGAGCTTCCTCTTCTTCCCTCCTCATTTTGCATATTTCAGATGTCTTCCCCCACTATTTTCTACTTCATCTTTTTTCACAGAAAGAGGTGGCCCTTCTTGTCAAGGCAAAACCCTCTATAGCCATCCCTGATCTTATCTCAAGCAGATTGCCCCCTCAATCAGCCCCATTCTCTCACTAATCTTCGATCTCTTCCTGTCTACTAGCTTACCTTACTGTGCACAAACACAACCATGTCTTCTCCGTCCTTAAAAAAAAAAACAAAAAACCCTTACTTAATCCAACCATTATCCTTGGCCTTCTTGGCTAAACTGCTCAACAAAGCTGTGTACACTAGGAGCTTCCAATTTCTCTCTTCTCACTCTCTCCCAATCCCTCTGCAATATGGCTTCTGACCTTATCGTTCAACTGAAACTGTTCTCTCCAAAGTCATTAGTGATCTCTTAATTGCCAAATCCAATGGCCTTTTCTTAATTCTCAGCCTTATTGATCTTTCTGCTGCCTCTGACACTGTCAATCATTCTCTTCTCCTGCATAGTCTCTCCTCTCTAGATTTTTGTGACACTGCTCTCTCCTGTCCTGACTGTTCTCCAGTCTGTTCGACTGTTCTTGTTCAGTGTCCTTTGCTGGATCTCCAGGTCATGCTCACTAACCATGAGTGTCTTCCAACATGCTGTCCTGGTCCCTCTTCTACCTCCGTACCAGAGGTTCTTAACCTGAGGTCCATGAACTTTTTTTGAAGTATTTCGAGTACTGTATTTCCATATAATTATTTTCCTTTGTAATCCTCTGTATTTAATTATATAAATTTTAAAACATTATTTTCTGAGAATGGTTTTCTGAGAAACATTTTCTGAGTCTGGCACAGACTGCCAAAGGGGTCCATGATACAATAAAGAATATACACTACCTCACGTGGTGGTGATGATAATTTCTAAGGAAATGAGTCCCAAATTTATCCATTATTTATATATACACATATATACATATATATACATACATATACATATTTACATGTATACACATACACACATATCCTTCCCTGATCTCTCTGGAGCTCCAGTCTCCCATCACCAACTGCCTTTGGGATATCCTGAACTGGATACTCCTTAAGCATCTCAAAAGCAACACGTCCACAACTACCAGCACTCCCAAAATCCTCCCAAATCTTCCTTTGTTACAAATGTCAACGGCACCAGTATCCTCCCAGTCTCTTAGTTTGACAGCCTTATCCTCAACTCTTCTCTTACACTCATTCCACGTATCTGATTGGCTGACAAGTCATGCTGTTTCTCATTATATTCACTTATCTCCACTCACACAGCTACCCTCCCCTGCCCCTCTGCCCCGATACAGGCTCTCCCCCCTGAGATGCAGAAGGCAACAGCATTCAGGTTGGGCCCTTGCCACAGATCTCTTCCCACTCTAATCCAAAGTGTTCTTCCTAAAGCTCAGGTCTGACATTATGGACAGTGCCTCCATGTTAACCTCTAGGATCACATGTAATATCTTTGGTTTGGCATTTAAAGCCCCTCACACATTGCCTCCTTTCAATCTTCTTAACTTTAGTCTCTTCTCCTTTATGATTCAGCAACACTGCCTTCATATATATATGCTTATGTGTATTTATTATATATACACATACACAAATATATACTAATATATTGGCTTTCTAACTCCAAAATAATCTACTACTTCCTTATATGTATACCCAATAGTCTAGTAAAACTGCTTCAATAAATCAAATTGCATTAAGTCTGCTCACAAGTTTCCCTATGTCTAGAATGGATTCCTTTCTCCTTCCCACACTCTCCCTCCATCTACTGAACTTTTCAGCCATCCTTCAAGGCCCATCTCTAATGCCTGCTCCATCATGTAAGCCTTCCCACCAGCTGGAAGTAATTTCTCTCTCCTCAGATCTCTCACAGAACTCTGATGGTGCTTCATTCACACACCTAGACTCTATTCTGCATTATAAATTATTTGGTTATATGTCTTACCTCCCCCTTTGTTTTTGTTGTTTAGTCCTTTTGTGTTTGACTCTTTGTGACCTCATTTGGGATTTTCTTGGCAGAGATACTAGAGTGGTTTGCCATTTCCTTCTCCACCTCATTTTGCAGATGAGGAAACTGAGGCAAACAGGGTTAAGTGACTTGCCCAGGATCACACAGCTAATAAGTGTCTGAGGCTGCATTTGAACTCAGGTGTTCCTGACTCCAAGCTCAGGGCTCTATCTGCTACACCACCCAGTTGCTGTTATCTTCCCTACTAAGCTGTAAATTCCTCAAGGGCAGCATATGTTTTTTGTATCTCTGTCTTTCCCATAGTGGCCACACTACTGTGCCCTGCACATCAAAAAAAACATTTGCTTACTGGAATTAGAAAATAGAGCAAACAGGGCAAACATGAGTCATAGGGAGAAGAGTAGGACAGATGAATAGACTATTACCATTTAGAGAATGGAAAAATAGCTGCAGATTGGGTTAGATTGTTCAAAGTCACATAGCTAGTTAAAAGCAGATATTGGGATGTGAGTAAGAGGAGGGGTGGAAGAATGACTATGGAACCAGAATCCCAACATGCTAAATTCTCTAGTCCAGTGCTAATTACAGACAAAACTGGTAGGGGAAGGAAAGCAAACAGTTACTCCATGGTCTGGGTAGACCTTTTAAATGTTTATAATGGATATGACAGGGAAAAATAATGATCTAAATGAAGAGAGGAAAGGGGAAGTAAAGCGAGAGGAGAATGAATAGGTATAGGTAATCTTAGATATTAGATTTATATATTGTAATATAACATACCCTTCCTGTGTTAAATAATGTAAAATCAAAATGAGAAGATTTTTTCGGCGAGCTTCTGCCCTCCTCTCACTCTGTAAACAAAGAGGGAAATTTAAATGAGATGGAGGTGAGACATAACATATTCTTTTTATAGCAATAAGTACTAGAAGGTAAACATAACCTGTCAAAAACAAACAGCCTGATTTAAGAGGGAGAAAGCACTTTACAATCTCGAGGGGGGCATAAGGTTGCTTTCCATTCTGACTTCCTTTTTCAAGCTACCTTTTTGATTGTAAACTGAAGGTACAATGAATGCAATTTACTGGTTGAACTTCTTGCTGAAAAGCTAATTGGGCTTTTATTGTAGGGAGTCCGTGAAAAAACACAACTACTACTGGGACTGTGTTAAGGCCAGAAAAGTAGCAAGAAATGCATAACTGCGAGACAGAAGTAAGATCTGACACGGGAGGCCTTTACCTGTGTCTGCTTCTTGCATTCACTCGGGACTACATCTAATCCCTACAGAAGTGTAAGGTGGCTTTCCAGGAAACCATTCAGGATTCTTAGGGGTTATCTGGAAGGACCCTCTGTGGTTTTCTACCTCCTTTCATAGAAGAGGAAACTGGGAACAAGGAGGTTCCATGACTTGCTAATCATGGGAATAATGCAAGATGCTGAGCTGGGATTTAAACCTAGGTCCTCTTCCTCATTGTCAGAAGTGGGTAGACTGGCTAAGCATCTGGAATGTTCACAGCTATTATAGTAAATGCCATAAAAGGGAAATTCTTAAATTGCAGACTCATTGACTTAAATAACTATTGAATTGTGTGCATTTGGAACTTTTATTCATACTGTTAGTGCATAGCTACATTTAGTTTATAGATTTAGAACTGAAAGATAGCAGGGGTTTTTAACCTGAGATACATGGGTTTCAAGGGGACCCTGGATAGATTTCAGGAGGCCTGTGAATTGAGTTTTGTAATATTTTCATAACTGCATTTCAAGGTAATGTTTCAGTAATGGTTTTCTTTGTAATCCTAGTTTATTTGTGCATTTAAAAACATTCTGGGGTGGGGGTCAATAGGCTCCACCAGATTGCCAGAGGGATTCCGTGACACAAAAAAGGTTAAGAAACCCTTGATCTAGATCAATCCCCTCATTTTACAGGTGAGGAAACTGAGGCCTAGAAATGCCCCAAGTGACATAGCTAGTAAATAGCATAGGCAGAATTTGAATCCAGGTCCTCTGACTCCAAATCTAGGGTTCTTTCCATGGACTAATTTTATCTGAGTTTTACTGCTTTACAGTCATGCCTCATTGCTACCCACAAAAGGGTCATTTCCCTAGTTCAGTCATCAGTCTTATCCAACATCCTTGGCACTGATTGAGCTGGGGATCATCCAAAAATCAAATAAATACACCTTCAAAGGATAAAGATTCACCAGTCTCCAGGCTACTCAAAAGTATGTGCTTCAGGCAATTCATAAAAAGGGGTTCCAAAATATGAATAACAACTTCCCAAAATAACTACTTTGAAAGCATCAGCACTGGTTTGGATGGATAAGTTCCAGTATGCTTTTGCTTTTTAAAGGAAAATTTCTTTGCCATCACATCTGGCACAAAAAAACTTTTCAAATAGAATAAAAACAAGGTCACTTACTATAGTGCTCAAATCACAAATCCTCTCTCGTCCTTTGTAAATTGTAATTAAACTTTTCTTGTCTAAGTTTGCCAACGCTTATTTGGGGTTCTGATGCTGAAATGAGCTGATATGTCTCACCTCCATCTCTCACCTTCAGATCCCCAAACCATTCATTAAAGACCAGAACATAAAGTAAAAAAAAAAATAAAACAACTAGTGTACCTCATACCTGGCCTTCTTATATCATTGCTACTACAAAGATGAGCTACAGCAAAACAAGCAGAGCCACAAGCAGAATTTTTGTGGCCAGGTCATGAAATGAGGGTGCAGCATGGAAATGCAGAACAAGGCAGGAGGTCACTTGGGGTACAGCTGCTGGGGGACAGAAAGTACCTGTCGGGACAGTACAAGACCCTGACTTGTATGCCAGAAAGGAACTCACTTAAGGGAAGGAAGTATGTGCCATCTGAAAGCTTCCTATTTTAACTAATTATTTTTGCTAACCAGGTGTTTAACTCAGCTGAATGAATGAATGAATGAATTTATTATGTACTTACTAGGTACTGAGCATTTGGCTAAGTACTGGGGTTTCAAACACAAAAAAGAAACAGTCCGTGCCTTCAAAGAGTTTATATTCTAATAGGGTGCCATAATATATATAGGCGATTTTGTGGCCAGAAAAAAGTGAAGCTGCAAGGATGATGAGTGGCATCTGAGTCATTAAGTTTCTTTCTCTCTCTCCACACACACACACACACACACATATACACACCCCACTATAGGTTGGGGTCCCCGGAAGGTATAGTTGCTAATCTCTGTCGGGGTTTTATCAGGTAACTCTGAGGAGCTGAGGTTTCTAGTACTGTAACTCCTGAGCCTTCTCCTGAATCAGAGTTCTCCCAATTATCAGTTAGCTAGTAGATATCAATTAGCTCTTAGAAAGGGTATTTACTAAAAAATTACAGTACAAAAGGTTGGTACAAAACACTGTGCCCCAAACCAGGGGCATACTCTGTCCTTGCACGCACAAAGTCCCTGGGAAAGTGAGCTCCAACTTAAAGTACAAAGGTAGTGAGGCACCTGGTTAGGTCAGAGGCAGGCAGAGGTTGTCTACACATGCTCTCTGACTACTTCTAAGACTGAAATCAAGCAGGGCTATCTCTGCATGTGTCAAGGACTGGGCCCACACTAACCCTCACCCCATTTCATAAGTATAAACAAAATTGATCCAAGCTAATTTGGGGGAGAAATGCATTAACAGTGGCTGGGGGTGTGGTACAGGAAAGGCTTCTCAGGTAGCACCTGAGCTGAAAACAGAAAACAAAACAAAACTAGAGATTTCGAGGGGCAGAGGTGAGAAGAGTGTGCATTCCAGGCAGAGGGGACAGTCAGTACAATGGTGGACAGAGACACGACACAGGAGCATTACATATGAGGACCAGGAAAAACACCTGTAGATTGCAGAATGGAAGAAAGGAAATAATATGTAACAAAGCCGGAAAAATACAATGGGGCCAGGTTGTACAAAGTTTCCAATGGCAAACAAAGGAGTTTTTATTTGATCCTGGAGATGACAGAGAGCCACTGGAACGTGCCAAGACCAGACGAGCTTTAGAACATCACATTGGTGGCTGTGTAGAGGATAGATTTGAAGTGGGAAGAGAGTGGAGACCCAGAATGCTACTGCAATAGTCCAGGTGACGGGGGCCTGAATGAGGATGGTGGCTGTGTGAATGTAAAGAGGGGCATGGGTGTGAGAAGGCTGTCGAGGGAGAAGCGGCAAGATATCTGGGGTGAGGGAGGGTAAGGACCAAGGCTAAACACTGAAGTGACTGGGAGGATTAAGTTGGAAAAGGGAAGTTTGGAAAAGGGATAAATAGTTTTAGGCAGCTAAGTGACACGGGCTTTTTGGACACTGAATACGAGATGCCTATAATCAGCCTGAAATGTTCAATAAGCAGCTGGTATCACAGGGCAGTGATTGCTGGCTGACTGGTTTCATCAGGCTTATGTGCAGCGGGGCTTTTTCATAGTTCTTCAAGAGGCTGGGGCAACAAATAACTGGTCTTTCCAAACTCCGAGGTTTACCCATTTGTTGATGTTGCTCAAGCTGAGCCTGTAAAATATCACCCCCAGAGCAATGCTGATCAGTCAGCCAGTGGAAATCTTGGTGGTAGGTCTCAGCCAATCACATTGAGGAAGGGTTGGTAAATGCGTGTGCAAAATTCCTGCGTTAACCTAAGAAATTATCTTAATATGCTTGTTGAATGTTACAAGAATTGCAGCAACAGAATATAGGCATCTTATAAGGAACATAGAATATAATCTAATAGAATATACTATATTTTCTATACTGGTAAGTGTATTGTAGATCTAGTTAGTTGATTTCACTTACCATACACACACACACACACACACACACACACACACACCCCCAACCCTATAAAGAATCAAAATCATTAGGAAGGCATTACACTATCAATGCAGCCCAGAATCAGAGTTAGAGTGAGAGGGGACCTCAGAAGCCATTTAGTTCTTGTCCAACCTCTTTATTTTACAGATGAGGAAAAAGTGATGGGCGTATCAGTCCTAGTGGGAAGGTAGGTGCTTCAGTGGATAGAATGCCTGGCCTGAAGTCATGAAGACTCATCTTTCTTAGCTCAAAACTGGTCTCAGACATTTACTAGCTGTGTCACCCTGGGCAAGTCACTTAACCCTGTTTGCTTCAGTTTCCTTATCTGTAAAATGAACTGGAGAAGGAATGGTAAGCCACTCCAATATTTTTGTCAAGAAAACCCCAAATGGGGTCACAAAGAGTTGGCAACAACTCAAAATAGACTCAACAAACATTAGTCCTGAATATTTTACATACCTCATAGGCTAAATATTTTAATAGCATTTGATTACTTGAGGGCCTGACATCCTTCATATTTCTCATCCTTATGTACATGCATCATGGGTATCTGAATCACCACCCAGATTGCCTTCCTCCTGCTTTGCCCAGCTATTCTATAACAAGGTACTTAAAAGATGATAATAATACACAATGCCAGCACCAATATTATCTCCTCCCAATCATTACCAGATGTAGGGTGATCTTACAGTCAATTCAAAGCACCTACTGATATTATATTCTCTCCCACAATGTACAACAACTGCCCATAGTCTTCCATCCAGATAAGTCTTATTAAGAGGGGTCTGCAGTTCATTCTCTAGGCCTCCAAATTTGTCTTAGGGCATTTTATTTTGAAAGACAGATGATCAGGAATGCAATAGGCACATTTAATAATGAAAAATACCTTAAGCGCATCTGACTTCCTAACATTGATAAATTGGTGCACCAAATCCCGATCAAACTGAAAATAAAATTGTGAGAATATAGCACATGCAATTAATAGCCCAACATATAACATTTCCTCCGAACAGAACTACAGGATGGTGTTAGTACAA